ACCCATCGTTTTTAAGAAGTAGCAATAAAAATTGTGAAGTTAAAACAACCTACGGTGGACCCAGTGTTTCTAAGAAGTAGCAATAAAAATTGTGAGGTTAAAACAACCTACGGTGGACACAATGTTTTTAAGAAGTAGCATTGAAAATTGTGAGGTTAAAACAATCTACGGTGGACCTAGCGTTTTTAAAAAGTAGCAATAAAAATTGTGAGATTAAAATAATCTACAATCTAGGAATTAGCATTTATTATTTTTTATATATATTTAGAATGTTCACGGAAACCTACGAAAGAGTATTCTGTGCAGCAATAAGAATTATGAAGCTAATAATAATAATGTACGGTAAACCCTGAAGTTTATAATATCTGAAGGAATTTGATAGAAGTCAGATGTCACAGCAGAGATAAAACATACAAAACTGTAGCATACAAGTCATTAAGATGAAAACAGAGTAATGAATCTTAGAGTCTTAATTATCAAAGTGTCTGTGGTTGTTGTTAAGCTTAAAAATATACAATGGGCTATTTGTGCTCTGTCCACCATGGGAGTCGAAACCCGATTTTTAGCTTCGTAAGCCTGCAGACTTACCGATAAGTCACTGGGAGAGACTTATTATTAAACAATCGCACACTAAAGAATCCCTGTATGGAGTGAAAAATGATGAGATGATGTACTTTAACGCTACATGGGATTTTATCTATACTTTTGCTGAATATTGTAACGGAAATAATACGTATGTGTCCTGATTTCTAGTATCTGTAAAAGCTGCTCATATATATATATTACCGTTGTTCTTATCTAAGTATATCTGTGTTTTTGTTGAGTAATATGTCTGTCTATTACCCTCCTTCTTCTCAAGATATACATATATTTGTAAGATTAGAACAAATATTATTTGAATGAAAACAAGTTGTTTCTCGGCCAGTCCTTCTCTGTTTTTGAGTAACTGAGTGTAAAGAAATTGTTTCCATTGAAGTCAGTGTAAAAGAAAACCTTCAACATATAAAGAAGTAAACACTACTGTGAGTCTCTTTGGCATATTCGTTAGGAGAAAATTAGTGAAATATGTTACCTTATGTATTCTGATGGATTTTTGCTGAGTCGTTATAACATATTAATTACAGTAGGACAAAATTTTTAAAATATGTTACCTTATGTATTCTGATGGATTTTTGCTGAGTCGTTATAACGATATTAATTACAGTAGGACAAAATTTGTAAAATATGTTACCTTATGTATTCTGATGGATTTTGCTATATTTATCTTGTATTCTGTTTAACATAAATAGCTAATACTCCATTCATGTCGCATTTTATTTATTAGAAATAGCCTAACATTTAACTCATATTATGCTTTGTCTAGTATATATGTTTTCACACATTAATGTAAGCTTTTAAATACAATGCTTATACATTTTAACCAAACTACATATATATATTTTTAAAAGCGAACTTTGGGGTTTATGTAACCACTTAAGAAATCACTCAGCATTTTAGGATTATTAACCAATACTGTATCATTTTCAGAAAATACCCGTGTTTGAGATAAACTAGCTAATCCATTAGATTACATAATTATAATATATTTCACAAATTTTATCCCACTGTAACTAATATGTTACAACAACTCAGTAAAAATCCATCAGATTATATAAGCTAACATATTGTCCTATTGTAATTAATGTTATAACGACTCGGTGAAAATCCATCAGAATACATAAGGTAACATATTTTTAAAAAAATGTCCTACTGTAATTAATATGTTATAACGACTCAGCAAAAATCCATCAGAATACATAAGCTAACATATTGTCCTACTGTAATTAATATGTTATAACGACTCGGTGAAAATCCATCAGAATACATAAGGTAACATATTTTAAAAAATTTGTCCTACTGTAATTAATATGTTATAACGACTCGGTGGCAACATGAATGAAGTATCAGCTATTTATATTAAACAGAATGCAACATGAATGAAGTATCAGCTATTTATATTAAACAGAATGCAACATAAATATAGCATCAGCTATTTATATTAAACAGAATGCAACATGAATGAAGTATCAGCTATTTATATTAAACAGAATGCAACATGAGTTAAATATCAGCTATTTATATTAAACAGAATGCAACATAAATATAGCATCAGCTATTTATATTAAACAGAATGCAACATAAATATAGTATCAGCTATTTTTATTAAACAGAATACAACATGAATGAACATGAGTTAAATATCAGTAATTTATATTATATAGAATGCAACCTGAGTTCAGTTATCGTTTACACATTCCTATCCTTATCGCTTCTTTAATATGTGATTAACAGGTTAGGCTTTAACGTATAGTAACTGTCAGTCATGCAACATTCTTCGAACTGAAAACCCTTATCTATATTTCTAAGATCCAAAAAAGTACAATAAAACAAAATATCTCAAACTCACATTGTTGGTAAGAGTCGAATGTTTAAAGCCGATAGAAATGTGTTTTGCCTGATTAAGTAAATGTTTTAGGTTAATGTTATTAGGTGCTGTATAATCTGAGTTTGTAAGAATCTGGACCACATCCAGGACGAAAGTGATTGGTCACTTCCATACAAACTCTAAATATTAGCATGCGCGTGACTCCCACCGGTCGGTTAACTATTTACGAGCTCCACCCTGACGTCTACAGATACACCGTAATACTTTTCAAAAAACGTGATGGTTTCGTTATTGAAGGATTAGATTACCAGCATTTTTCTTCAATATCACTGGCTTCTGGACATTATCATTTGTATCCGACCGCTACAGTTACTCATGTTGAAATAACAACATTCTGAGAAAAGTATGGCTGGCCTTGTTTTGTTTTTCATAAACTCAAATATCCTTACATTTCGGTCAACTTTTCACGATCCGACTGAGCTGTTAGTCTAAGTCGGTGCTGTTGAAATAAAATCTTTCACACAATAAAATAGGAAACTTTCACACTCGTGCCTGTTTGTCACGCCTTATGGTGAAGGACATTCCGTTTGATGAGAAGAACAAGACCTAGGTACAGCCACTAGAACAGAAGTTGTACCCTGCTGAATTATCACGATCTCAATAAACTTGTGTCAGTCGCGTGCTCTTCAGCCACACACCACATTTAAAGACAGTTATGTAGGAAGAAGGGCACAATTAGTAGTACCTTGCTGGGCAAGTTACCCCCTATGTTATACTCGTCAACGTATTCCATGTCTGTCGTAGTTTTCCCCATAAAGTCGGTTATTTCCTGCAGGGACGTTCGAAAACATTTAATTAAACTATAGACCCTCTCCCTCAAGGGCGAAAGCCTTGAGTGTATATGTATATATATGCACACACACACACATATATATATATATATATATTTCTTAAGATAAAATGCAATTACGCTGGGTATTTAGCTTTGTAATCGTAAGTTTTAATTACTGCTCATATGCAAGTTGAAGGGTACCACCAACAGACTATATTGGTAAAATATTACTTATTATGCTAAAACTTCTGACCTTAAGTCTTAGAAAAGAAATATCAAAAACCGAAATTTAACAAGCGATCAAAAAATATAAAACTTTACTACTTATAAGCCCATTACTAGATTATAACAGGCCCTTCACAAGCCAGCGGGTAACATTTTTATTGAAAAACAAGTACCCAATTAGGTTTTTCTTACTTTGAACTGAAATTTTTTAGTCATTTTTATTGGCTAAAAAGAATGCATTTCTTGCACTCTTTTAGCGTTGGGGCTGCGAAAAGTGATTTGAAGTGGTAAGGTGACTGAAATCCGTCAACGCCTCACAAGCTCAACAGCCAAGCACAAGAAGCATGGAAGTCTCTAAGTGACACCCAGAGGTATTCAGGAACCGTTTGAAACCACCTTGGTAGATATTGTGTAGCAAGCCGAGTACAATATTATGCCTGTAGCTGCTTTCAAAGTGTTCATGTCTGCTCGTCCTACTGCTGACTATCGTGATGCTTCGACCTTCCCTACCGAATCGAAGGTGAAATCGTTCGTATCTCAATTGAAAGCTAAACATAAAATGGTGATAGCAGAAACATAAAAGGTTGGCAGTTGCTTAATTAATGATGCTGAGAATGTAGCTTTATGGATATATACTGAATTGACTCCCAGCAGTTAGACCTTAATACTAGCTAGTATGGAGACTTGAGAATGCTGTATTTCACTTAAATATTTCAATTAACAAAGAAAAACTTGTCTCGAAAAGATACGTCCAAAACCACCCTCTTTCGGAGTTTCCGGATTGAACTTACTTTTAATATTTAACAAATAGTTGTGTAAAAACACTCCGTGGCTCCTAAGGGATGTGTTAAAATAAACAAAGTTTTCTGAATGTTCTTTTTTTTTATTCAAATATTGTTGTAATTTAACATATTCTATCTTTAGCCGATTTCTTTTGAATTGTTTGGTGAAAATAATGCGAAGTACAGTCCATGCAACCATATAAAATGAGGTTATTTCTTCCTTAAAATTAACTTAAAGCTACTATTATTTGCATACAGTTATAGGCCTAAGTTCACAAACAACATTTTCACTTTCGACAGAAATTTATTCGCTAATGGTACTATGACTAACGAATAAATAATTTTCTTTTTGTCCAATTTCACGGCTATTCGATTGAGTAACTTAATATACACGACAATTAACACTGATATGAATTCTTCACTAACTTCTCCATCGTTGAACGAGCTGAAACGGACTCTTTGCTTTACTGATTTTCCTATTTATAATGTATCGTTATTTCGATCTTTAACAAACACGAACATTTTAGGTATTCTAGGCTACATTTATAAATTTTCTAAATCTAGTCATGTTAGCAGTTCCTCTAGCAAACAACTAAAATAAAACATTGAAAATTTAGCTTACAACAACGTATAGTAAATCCCTAAAGGGAATTCAGGGACTTTTAAGACGCTCTTAATAAGCTTTCATAAGTTTCTGAAGGGATTATCTGAAAAACAACAACAACTCACTTATGTATATGTGTGTGTCATAAGTAAACTTTCAAAAAATAACAGTAACAATTAAAATACTATAAGCGAACAAATATAGATTATTTCATACGTAACTGATTACCGTTACCGGTATAAAAAGTTATACATGTTTTGCATGTTCTCACCTACATATGATAACACAGACTCAATAACAATGAAGAAATATTGAGGTAAAATTTCCTAAAATTTAAAGTAACTGACAGGTTTTTAACTGCCTAACCAGGCCATTGATTTTTTTCTTACCAGTCTGAAGTTAAGTAAAACGGTATCCAAATGACTGTGTATAGCTTCAACGTTTCTCAATGAATATTTTTATACTGTCTATTTTTATACCGTGTATTTTTATATATTTTTAATTTAGTTTACTTTAGGTTTGGTTTGGTTTGAATTTCGAGCAAAGCAACAAGAGGGCTATCTACGCTAGCCGCTCCTAATTTAGTAGTGAACAAATAGAGGAAAGGCAGCTAGTCATTACCGCCAACTCTCTGACTACTCTTTTACCAACAAATAGTGGGATTGACCGTAACTTTATAACAACCCCACGGCTCAAAGGGCGAGTATATTTGGTGGGACAGGGATAGTTTTCTTTAAGTGAAATACTGTCTATAATTTTAAAGTGTACCATTATATTTAATGACCAGCATAGAAACTGTATATGCTTCTTTAGGAGTTATAGTTCTGTTAAATGTGAAAGAATATCTGATTTTGTTCACTTCGATCTTTACTCACTGAACGAAAATATTTTATGTCATTATTTACATTTCTCTTTTATTTAAAAAATATAATATTGTTAAAAGTAGAAACAAAGTATTGTTTGAAGAATTTTTTTACTTTCACAAGTACTAGATTTGAATGTTGAATGACGAAACTTGAGTCAGTGACAAAATGGATGTATAAGTGCACAACAGAATATAGTTCCTGCTTTTAACCTTAAGCTGCATTTTCAAGTTTTTAAAATTATCGTGATTATACCATATTTTTTATTTTATAATTTTTGATATAAACATGTGGTTAACTATATATATCCCACAATCTCTCATATCATTTGCCTTTTTAAGCGCTTTACAAAATCTTGATTTAGACCCAACTCGTATTTTGTTATCAACTTGCTTTTCTAAAATTTTCTTAATTCATGATGCTTCTGAGGCAATACAAAAATATTTGTTCAGGGATACTCGAGTTAAAACTTTCATGTTATCTAATTACACGAAAGAAACAATGATCACTCTAAGGAAATGCTCTCAGCTTAAAGCTTGTTTGTTTATTCAAATTTTTACATTTTCATTTCTTTTTAAATGGAGGACTTGAATTCACGAGATCTCGAACATTTCCGCCATTTATTTTCTAACAGTGTGGTTGGCCTATGGAACGGGTTGTCTTCGTATGTTGTGGAGGCAGTAAATTTAAGTGAGTTTAAGAGAAAGCTTGATAAGTATATGAATGATAAGGGCTGACTTTAATGTATTTGTTTTAAATTTATTTATTTATAGTTTTTAGTTTAGTTTAGAATGGGACAGACGAGATGGCCAATAGGTCCCACGTTGTTCCAAAACGTTATATTGTATTGCCGACTCTGCTTCAGCTTCCCTAAGTTCACCTCATTCACATGATAGCATGTAGAATGGGTGTTAGATCCAGGGATTCTTGTTCAGTAATTTCAGCTTGGTAAGGTTTCTCATCAAAGTTGACTTTGTTTTAAAAGCCATTCCGACCCCAAACTTTATAATAATTCGTCTTAATTTCTCCCTTCGTGGGAATACTTTCTATTTCTAGTTCTAGTTGGTTTTTCTCGTCTTATTCTTCGTACTGATGGTTCAATGGAACCTGGTATGTTTTCCTCATTACTGACAAAGATAAGTTATTTGGAAGAGCGATCGAAGACGCTTCACTACATCTTCATTGTAGTAGTCAGGAAAATTGCGTTTGCAACAAAGCATTAGAACTTACATCACTTCACTTTTTCTTTAAAAAAATCTATAACATATACTTTAAAATGGAAATACTCGTTCGTTTTCGGTATACCTTAGTTACGGATCTATTTTCTTCAGAAAAGGGAGACAGTGGTCAATTTCTGTTGTTGTTTTATAATTGTAGTGAACTCTACTTGTTCTTTGGGTGAGATTCAAACTCTTCCAATCTTTTGTGACCATGTGTTCAGACACAGAGCTTAGTTTCGTGTGATTGGTTTGCTTCAGACATTCGCGCAAACCTAATTTTGAACTGATAGGGAGAGCAGCTAGTCAACAGCACCTATCACCAACTCTTGTGCTACTCTTACCTAATAGTGGGATTTGGCCGTCATACCGAAATTGCGGAGTGCGATTTTAGTTCAACTGGACGCGAATAATGAACCACCGGAACCACAATCCGGCACAATAAACAATTGGCTATGCTCGGGTTCCTAAACACAGAGAATATCATCTACAAATTTTAGTCAGTGGTTTGATTTGATTAGGGACGACTGAATGGTTGTTAGTTCAAAATGTTAAGAACACTATTTTGTATTTTTGACCTGAAGTGATCAAGTCAGATATCCAAGAATTTATCAACTTTGGCGGTTCCTAATTTAGATCTACTGATCAGAAGGAGGTTAACCAGTCAACAGTGTCAGTCACCCTCACCATACTCTTAACCGACTACAGACTATTTTTATAACACGCCTACAGTTAAAACATGTAACTTAGACGTCTGAGACTTTGATTCATGAACAATTTTATTTTTCGAGATGGCGCTGTTTATTCTAGGAGTTCTGTATAAAGCATGAAAACATTTAAACCACAAATTTAACTGAGATATGCAATAAAACTAAATGTATTTGCGCAGGGTCTCCCTGAAAGTGTCCTGTTTCAAGAGTAAATAAAATCAAATTTAATAGTAACAAATATTTTTATTTCTTGCTTTTGAAGTTCATATGTCATGCTGTGTTGTAGCCTACAGGGTGCA